CGAATTAAAAGAAAAATTTCACGAAATAAACAGATAATTATATATTTTTATACACTATTTTGTTAAATCTCAGTATAAATAGATCTTAAAAATTTTAAATTTAGCAATACATTTAATTAATTCGCTACGAATGTAACTATTATATTTTCATTTAAATGGAATTAAAAAGTTATTTTAATTTATTTGTTGTACTGAAATAGAGAAGAGAGACGAAAGTAAAAATAATCTAGTAGCATATAAAGTATAATACACACAATGTATACGTGGAATGAAAGGCTTTACACACTTGCACAGTGTACACATGCGACTTACTATTAATTTACTCATTTTATATTTACTTTTTATGTATTTATTTAGTTATTCACTTCTGTTTTACTATGCCAGACTCCTTAAGCATAATTTGTAGTGGTAAGTTCTCACGATTCAATTTGGTATTCTCAAAAAAGTACGGACCCAGGACCAACTACCCCTGACGCAGTGACTACACCTTCTCCATAGAATTGTTAACATTTTTTGAAGCCTCCTGTACAATAATTAACTGATAAGAAATAAAAAATGAAGACAATATGCCGCAATTTCCCTCATAATTCTGTGTTATAAATAACACAGAATTCTCAAATTTACAAAATAAAATGACAATATTTTGAATGCGTAATATTTAATTAACAATATTTTAATACAGTTTTTTAAAAGCATTTTTAAGATACCGCTATAAATGAAAATTAATCAATAAAATAACAACTCTGAACTCCATAAAAAATAATTGTAACCAGCAATTATTTATTGTGACATCGTCACAATGACGGGCTGCAATTTTTAACCATATTTTTAATCATTTTTTTAATTTAAAATATATTCTCTCCATTTCAAATTAGCAATGGTCTCGCCCTTGTACTGTACATCATACTTTTCCTTTAGCGATCCAACAATGAGTTGCGCAAGTTTCCCGGAAAAAAAATTTTAAAACTGTGGTGTCGCCATCTGTTATGATATTTTATTTTAAAAACTTATAAAACGTATTATAAAATGGCAAAAAGCTTTATTTTCGGGGTATAAAATGAGTTTTATATACAAAAAAATTATAAATGATAATAACGAGTAAAATCAGATAAAATATTTTTTAAAAAATTCACAAAAATAAAATTTTATTTATTTAATAACCGATGTTATTGTATTACGTTTTACTTTATTCAATGTAATAATGGAGTTGACGATGTATGTTTTCCTTATCTTCTCAGTGAGGTTAGGTTAGTTAAAGCTTATTTAATATATATATTAATAAACATTTAATAATATAATATTATTTTTATTGTCAGTCCACAATAAAGATTCGCCTAATGACACTTCAGTGATAAACCCTGTCCAACCTCATGATAAATGTAGTCAATATATTTTTATAATTTTATAATTTAAATAATTTTTATATAAATCTGCTTAAAATAATTTATTATTATTATTATTATTATTATTACTTTTTAATTCAGAACACGAGAAAATGAAAGAAATTTGTAAAAAATAAGTGACTGAAGAAACGTATTTAAGTAATGGTAGCGAGGTAGTATTATTATTTGTCCTTGTGTTAAGACATTATATTTGTACTTGATTGCCCTTTTTTCTCGTTGTAATTGTCATGAGTATCCTTAAGCATACAATTGCTTGAGAGAACGAATCGTTCAGGAACACACAATTAATATTGAATTACGATAATTAACAGTAAATTAAGACAAAATAAAGACAAACTTCGGGTTGGGTAGGAACACAAAATTTAAATAATAATAATAGATCCCAACCGGCCGGTATATTTACACACGATGAATTGAAGGGAGTGGGAGTGTGAGCCAAGTTTAAACTTACATTTCTGCCAGTAATTGATTTTATTTTAATTTTATTTAAAGTATTATTTCTTCGATATTTTGACGGTTGCTTGAGTTTCGGTTAAATTGATTGTAAATCATGTTTCTTCTTTAATATTTATCAAACTATCATTAACAGATTTGGAATACACTGATTAAAAGAGGAACTTCTGGCAATAAATAAAGTCTCTACTAAGAACTATCCTAATAAAAAGTAAATAATATTGAAAGTATTGAAAAATCATTGTTTTCCTTATCATCAATGTGTATATTTTTAAAACATGCGCAATTATATATGTATACATACAAGGCTAGTCAGAAGAATTGAATGATTCGATTACGTTCTATAAAGACTTTAAATATAACAGGAATTTTATACTGGGGTTAATCGACAGAAAGACATCATAAAGTTTTTTGAATGACCAATACCTAAACACATGATTTCAACACCGTACTGCTACTGACGATCAGTAACTTTTGATGAGACCTCCTACATCTTCAAACCTACCTCCTTGCGGCATTTTTTATGAAGGGTTGTGAAAGACGTCCATTTACACACCTTCTTTTCTTGAGAATAGCAGCAGCAGTGTAAACCATTGATGCAGATACACTTCAACGCCTTTTGCAAGAACTTAAATATAGCATTGGCATTTACAACGTGACCAAGGGAGTTCATATTGAGCACGTAGTAACTGCTTTACACATGTAAAGATCATTCAATTCTTTTTGACTAGTCCTGTATATACAGTACACACATCCGAATACTATAAACCTGGTATACACCCATTCATATTCTTGTAATAGTAATTACTAAATACAGTAGAGCCTCGAAAACTCGGCCTAATGTGGACCGAAGGGTGGCCGAGTTTGTAAAAATGCCGGGTTATCGGGAATGGGATTAAAAAAACTAAGTATGAGTGTTTCCTCAGAAAATACTGTACTGTATTTGTATGTATTGTTTACTTGAGAATACAACAGAGAATAAACTGCCCAAATATCCTTAAACAAAGGAAAAGTACGACCTTTATGAAGGCATAGAGTCTTTACTACATGAAAATGAAAATTAACGAATACACTGTGTACAGTAATTTACCTGATAAGACAAACCCAAGAAAAATACTTTATGAGGCATAAAGCTGTCTATAATGAAAATTAATTAACTAAGGATTTTTTGCCCTGCCAGGGTGTGGCCGAGTTATCCGGAGTGCCACATCCTGGCATCCTCGGCACCCGAGTTATCGAGTGCCGAGTTTTCGAGGCTCTACTGTATTGAAATAAGTCCTAAGCAGAAAACTCATATTTTACGTGTGAGTAAACACATGTAAAATGGATGATAGGTTAAACAGTAATCAATCAAAGCAGAAAAATGTATGTAAAATTGTTGACAAGTTATTCTTTAAGAAAGTATAAAATATATAACATTTTTTACATAATAATACTACTAGATTCTAGTTTGAAAATAAACAAAGTACCTAATAAATGTTAACCCGTCGGCACGCGCGTGCTCCATCAAATTTAAATTACGCGCGCTCGGTCAATTAGGCACCAATTTAAAAAATTATTTAATAAAAATTTAGCGTCGAAGAACGGGTACTTTTACTTTAATCCAGTTCTACTATATGTTTGTAGTCGAATTCAGTCAAAAAATTTTAATTTTGTTATAATTTTGTTGATGATTTTAATTGTTTAATATTAGAAGGTAATTAGCATAAATTACAAAGTGTCGTGTTTCATCTTCGCTTTCGTTCAAATATATAGTCCTAGATACGCATCGATGTTTATTTTTACTTCTACTGGTGGTTCCGCTTTTATTTCACCTTCGGGCGTTTTGGTTACAGACGATGGGGAGACGGGCGTCACGTGATCGCTTACCTCACTTTTTACCACAGAAATTACCTTACATCGAAAGTTTTATTTTTTTTTCTTGATTTTAATTATTATTAACTAACTTTTTTTGATAGATTCTCATATATATGTGTTTTCTGAAGTTGCAGATATTTTTTTTATTAAGTTTTACTCATTTATGTTTTTTTATTCGCATTTTATATATAAAATATAAGAAAATTCAAAAATTAATTAATTGTTATCAGAAATGCTAAACTATAAGTACGATGTGTTTTACAGTACTATTGCGAATAGATATAGTCAATTATTTTGTAAACATACTTATTATTTTAATTTTTATAAATTATTTAATTTGAT